GCCTCTGGGGCGAGGGCTGATCCGTTTTGCGTCAAAGGACTGCATTTACTCAGTCCTAATGGGAGAGGCGCGTAAACACCCAAGCAGGCCAGAACGCAGGGATGGAAAACACACACACACACAGATGCATACACACACACAAACCTTCCACAACCTAGCACAACCGCCTATCCCACACCCTTTGCCAGTCCTGCGGAGTTGGGTATTCTGTCCGGCGGGTGGCGGCGGAGATGCGAGGAATCTGGCTGGCTTCGCCTTGTTGAGCACGTCCTTGGGGATGGAGCTCAGGACAGAATGTGTTTTATAGCCGTAAACAATGACCCCGAGTATTGTTTGGGATTACCGTATCTTGGGGCCATTGGGGCAGCCAGATGCCGCCAGCCGTCCCGGAAACGCCAGCGCTTTATATAGAGCCTCCTTTCCCGGCTCTATTTTTCTTTCCTAGCAACACCCCCACTTTACAGATAAGGAAACTGAGGACCGGAACTGTGGTGTATTACAGTGCACAGTGCTTCACAGTCTGCTAGACTCTTAACATCACATCTTCTTAAAAAAAAAAAAAAAAAAAAGCTAAAAAAAAAAACTTGTGAAATACAGGGAGCTCCATTTAAGAGTTGGGCAAACTAATGCTAGACAAAGCATGGACCAGAACCCAAATTCCTTGGCTGAGTACAATTGGAGGTACAGTGCTATTCCTATCACACCACATTATCTCTGCAGAGAATTGACACTCCAGAGATGACAGGAGCCTTAGAAGATCATCTGGCTCAACTCCTACACTTCATAAGAGGAACCAGAGGCCCAGAGAGGTTAAGGGACTCGCCCAAGGTCTCACAACTAATAAATAGTACCCAGCGTTCATAATCCAAGGCCTGTGCTCATTACCCTGCACCTCGCCCCGCCCATCGAGGCGGGAAGATCTGGAATCCTGCCTACCCACGCCCTGAACTTCGCTCCAAACAGCTGAAGAAAACTTTGGGGCACACCCTTTCTCTGTCCTCCCTCTTTCCCTTTATTTTCTTTTTTTCTTTTTAAATTGGCAATAGTCTCGAGTTTGCTTATAATATCAGATTACTCCTATCAGATGCGTCCTAATAGCCCATCATAGAAATAAATAGCCCATCATAGACAACAGCCGGAATGTCTGGATAAATTATCTTCAAGTCTACTAACAAATCAATGGTAGGACCTAGGGGGTGAAAAGGAAGCAATGGGCAACCCGGCTCCGCCCGGCTGCTCCGCGCCCCACCAAGGTCCGGCCGCAGGGCGGCGCGTGTGCCCTGCGCGCCTAGGGCGCCCGCTGCACCGGGCGGCGCCGCGAAGGGCGCCGAACGACCGCGCGCGGCCGCACCCTTCCTGCGAGCGGCTCTGCGCGCCCGGCTCTCGGCCTCGCGGTGGCGCCTCAGTAACCGCCTGTCTCGCTCTTCAGGACTGTGATTATTTTTTAAAACACTCAGCAAGGTCTGCGTGGCCGCTTTTTGGGCCCCCATCCCCCGTCCCATTTTCGGGGGGTTGGGAGACGTGAGTCGCGCACTCAGGAGCGGGCGAGGGAATTCCTCTCCCTTCACGTCACCCGAAAGCGAGGAAACCCGCACTCACGTCCTCTAACGCAAATGACCATCTTTGGCAACGTGCGCCAATGGGACAGACCAAGGGCGCTAGTCCTGGGGGGGTGGGCAAAGAGTGAGGAACGGATAGGGCTGCCTGGACTCCTCGGAACCTCACCGCCGACCCGCTCCCAAACCCTAGTTAGTGTTTCCTTCTACACGCCGGGCGAGCAGTTGGCGTCAGCGCGGCCAAGAGACTGGGCAGGGAGGGGACACTCTGCCCGCCTCCTCCCGCTTCTCTTCCTCCTCCTAGTCCTCTTCACCCCCGCCTCCCCTCGCGCGCTCCTCCTGCAAGGTGGAGTCTGGGGTTGACGTGAGTGAATCCACATGGTACAGGGGTGGATAATAAAGAGTGTGGAGTTGAACTCGTGCCATTGTAGTGACTCATCTGGGCAGAGCTCAGGGGCTCCAAGCGAGCGAGCGAGCTAGCGAGCGGCGCTCCGCGGGGAGAGAGAAGGAGAGGGAGAGGCGCTGACGGGCAGAGGCAAAGCCCGGGGCTGACGGGCGAGGCTCAAGCGAGGCGGGCCCCTCCGGGAGCGGGCACCGGGGAACGAGTGCAGGTCCCGGGCACCGGAACCGCGGCGCGGGAAGCCGGGGCCGCGTCCCTCTCTCCGCGCGCACAGTCGGCTCAGTTCGAATTCCACCCGTCCGTTTTCCTGCTGGCGCGTCTGGGCCGCGGGACGGGAGCCGGCTGCGGTTCTTTTCCTAGTCTGAGTAGCTTCGCAACACGAGCTGCGAGTCTCACCACAGGAAGTTTATTCTCGGGCTCCTTTACTAAAAGGAGGAAATAGCAGAAGTTTTTCAAAGCGGACAGCCTTGCTTCTCTCGTTCGCTCTATTTTACTCTCCCCGCCCTTTCTCTCGTTCTGAAATCTGGGCCCCCCAGACCTGGCCGACGGTCATTTTTAATTTCCAAATTTTGCTCTGGACGTTGGTGCCGGCTGGGCTCCGGCTGCGGGCGGGGGCGGGAGGGCGCGCGCAGGGGAGGGACCGAGGGACGCTCGGACTTTTTTTAGAGGGAGGTACTAGGTGGACAACTGGTCCCGCAGCGCGACCAGAGCAGCACAGAAGTTCAGCTAGAGGCGTTCGGAGGCCACTGTCATCGCGGTTCTTGTCTCTGCCATCCCTTCTGCGCCCGGTGCCTGGGGGGAGAAGCGCGCGCGGCCAGGCTAGAATCGAGGTGCGACCGGCGACCGGCGGGCGACGGAGCGCGCGGCATTCTGTGCGCCGCCGCGACGAGGGCGGGGGAAGAAAACCACCCTGTTTCCTCTCGGGCTTCCACCGCGGATCATGTACCAGGACTATCCCGGGAACTTTGACACCTCGTCCCGGGGCAGCAGCGGCTCTCCTGCGCACGCCGAGTCCTACTCCAGCGGCGGCGGTGGCCAGCAGGTAGGTGCCGGCCCTTGGTGCACCTGGCTGCGCGCGGACCCCAGCCCTCCTCTCGCCGCCACTGCCTTTTCTTTTCCTTTTTAGATTTTGCGAGACAATACTTACAGTGCACGGTTGTAAATTCTGAATTTTCGTCCTTGTGGGCCCCCCTGTTTTAAGCTGGAGCTGGAAGGGGGTGTAAACAGCCACTGAATTCTTTTCTTTCCATTAAATCTTATCTAGCCCAGCTCCAGTCTACCTGCTTCCCAGGAGTCTGATAGCTCCTCTCCCAGGAACAATTTTCCCCAACTCTACCATCCCCCGCGTGGTGAACAGACCAGAAAACCTGAAAATCTTTGCAACTATTGACTCCTTGCATCATCCAGGGACCCTATTCCTGCGGGAAAGCCCTCTCCTTCCGTTCTCCATATCTTAGTTCCTTTCTGAAAGAGGTTTGGGACATAAAACACAACCAGGCATTCAAGAAATCCAGAGTGAGGGGGAGGATTGCCCCTCTGGGAATCAGGTGCGACGGTCAGCCTTGATTGGTTTCGGTGGCCACCTGTGTGACCCGCGTCCATCCTCTGTACTGGTCAGGGACGGGAGCCTGCATTGCTTACAGAAGGGGCTTCTCTATCCAGGGCAAAGGGGCCCAGCAGAGCGAAGTGGCAGAAAAAGACAACGCTTAGGCTCCCGGGTAGCTCTGGAAGCGGAAAAACAACTTGTTTCTAAAGCAGCCCGACTGGTTTACACTGGAGAGCTTGTACGTGCTGTCTGTGTGTCTGCAAATACCAGGAAGGTGCTGCTGGGGTGGTGGTGGGGTGTCTGCCTGGTGGGGCTAGCTGCCTGTTCTTTGCAGCAGATCCCCTTTCTCTGGCATGTGAGGGGGCGGGCATAAACAGAAGGCCCACTGCCATCTGCAGCCCACCTTGAACAGGATCTGCGGAGTCTGTAGTCAGCCAGCTTGTGCAGCAAGAGTTGCTATGAAAGTTGTGACTTTGGCTTGTGGAAGCCAGTCAGACAGAAGGGGCCAGGAGAGGGAGGCTCTCTTTTGGGGAATAAAATGGAAGCCTGGCTCTCTTTTGGACCTTAAAAAGGACACCTTGTTCCAGAGTCATTCCCCATACCTGATGAGTTCCCTAAATAGCTTTTCTGTGTATCCCCTCTGCCTCCCTTGTTAGATGTCATGGAGTCTATTTTCCAGTCATTCTGACCCCATGTGATGAGTAGAATTGCTGTTTTGTAGACTGTAATCTACTGCCAGGTCTTTCTCCCTTAAATCTACTGGGTGGGTTCGAACGACCAACCTTTCAGTTAGCAAGCAACAGTGCTTAATTATTGGGCCACTAGGGCTTCTTCTATTGCTACTTTCATAGTCATCCCTTGTGGAAAGGCATTCCGGGGTCTGTACATTGAGGGTGCAGTCATTGCACCTGTAATAATGTGTACCAAGGTGATGAGTTTAAATTCTTATTCTAAAAGTAGTTCCTTATACGTACTTTCCTGTCATATTGGTGTGTTTAGTTGGATTCTGACATCAGTAGGCAAATAGATTCAAGTCATTTACACCCATTCCCTGAGTCTCCAATACAAGCCCCAAAATGTCCCTCACCTCCTCCCTCTATTATTAGGAAAGGATCCTTTGATTTCTTCCCATTTGTTTTAGTTGCTATTTCTGGGGCAGTGAGCAGTTAAACACTGCAGTCTGGTTGCCTGGCTTCACTCAGACCCTGGGGCCCTTATGGGAAGTTAGACCGGACTTCAGAGTCCCGACTGAATAATCTGTGTCACTAGGGCTTTGAGCCCAGGATGTGAGTGGAGGCAATTCCCTGTTTTGGAAGAAAATCAGACAGGAAGCCAGTGCTAGGAAGAAGGAAGAGGACAGAGTCCAGCAGAGTGTAATGGGGACTCATTACCAAAGCAAAAAGCAGCTGTTAGCTAATTCCTAGCATGCTGTAACACATGAAGATTTTGCAATTAGTAATAACCAGTGCTCGGGGTTCTCGAATATAAGCCTGGCTCCTTTCAAACCAGAGGGATTGGCAAGGTAATGCCACTTTAGACAAGTTGCACAGCCAGCCCTCTCCTTGGGGGCAAAGGAGGGTTTTTTTTCCATTCTTTCTCCAACTTTGAGCAGAACTGTCCTGTGTTGTAAGGACCCGAGAGGCTTTGGTTACTTCTTAAGCCTGCACTATGACTCCACTCAATTTGGGACTCAAGGTAACTTTATTACATACCAGATAAAACCTGTAATGGCTTTATTTCCCTCAGCTTTCTTTACTGGGAATCTTTCATGGCTGTTAGTGGATAGTCCTTCCTTTTTTTATGGCATCTCAATGGACCAATCAGTGTTAAGACGGATACCTGATTTTTCCCTAGGACGATTGAATATCTCTTTCTTTTTGGGATCAATATTTCAGAAAAGACTCTACTCATCCCAGAGTTTTCCTCTCCTCCCTATCATCTTAAAATCAGATTGTAACACAAGGCCATGAGTTCAACCGACTCTGGGAAGGTGGAGATAACTTTTTTAAAGCCTCTGTTCTTGACTATGACCGAAATTTAAAGCATGAAAAAAATTTCCTGTTCTAGTTATAGTTTTAATCTCAAAGGTTGGTCATTGGTGATTTTGTTTTGCCAGTAATCATTGCTATACCACATGCCTCCCCTTCCTGGATTCTTTTTGTTTTTGTTGTTGTTTTCTTTCTCCTAACTTTCCTAGGAAAACACCTCCCAGATATATGCCTGGCTGCTTGACTATTACGGTTTCAGGGCCTGAGCATTACGTAATACAGCCAGTTACACAAACATAGGTCATTTCATAACTTGTTTTCATCAGCTGGGCCCCCTTTTTATAAAAAAAACAAAAACAAGATCCAGAACTTTTCCAAGGTTGCCATTTGTCTGTTTCTCAGATAACTTGTGAAAATAAATCAAGGGGGACTATTTCCTTTTGGGAATCAAGGAATACCAGACTAGCTCTCTTTTCGTCAGCAGCCATCCCCTCCCAAGACACACACACACACACACACAAAATTCCCCAGAGTGAACTTTTGCCAACTGTACCAGGCTGGGACATTCCTCACATCAAAGAACTTTTACCAGAAATGACTGTGATTCCCAAGTCAGCGCCAATCATGCCTTTCTAGTGCCCCCTACAGGGTATTGGTAGAAGAACCATTTTAAAAATGTATTTTTCCAGCTCCAGAGTATTTAACTCAGTTAATTTTCATAATTCTTTGGATTTTTTTCCCTTTTAGTTAAGGACTTTTAAAAAATGCCATATATTTAACAGTAGCTAGCTATAAACTGCTTTAACTTCAGAATGCAGCTGCTCCTTTGTTTTAATTTCTATTTTATTTGGTTCTAAATAAAGTCTGCATTTCTCTTTCCCCGTTTTAATGTCTGTCTGTTTGTGAGAGGGCCAGCATAATGTCTTCAAATTCCCAAGGCTTGCTCACTCTTTTTGTTGTTGTTGTTCTGGTAAAAAGTATTTAACCAAAATTGCCGTTTTAACCATTTTTAAGTGTAGAATTCAGTGGCATTCATTACATTCACCCTGTTGAGCAGCCATCACCATTATCCAGTCCCAAAACTTTTTCATCACCCAAACAAAAACTGAGTATCTCTTAAGCAGGAATTCCCTTTTCCTTCCTCCAGCCCCACCAGTTCCCGGTAACTGCTTTGGTCTCCATACATTGGCCTCTTCTAGATATTGCATATAAGTGAAATTACTTAAAATTTGTCCTTTTTTGTTTAGGTTCATCCATGTTGTAGCATGTATCAGAACTTCAGTTTTCATCATGAATGGACAACTGAGACTTGATCTCTTGATGTGTTTGTATTGCTGTTGTTGTTGTTAAGTGCCAACCCATAGCAACTCTGTAAAGGGTTTCTGAGGAGTGGCTGGCGAGTTTACACCACCAACCTTGTGGATCAAACCAACTTTTGCAGTCCAGCTCATTAACCCACAGCGCCCAACCAGGACTGTGGAATTTATATTGTTGTTGTTTGTTAAGCGCTGTCGAATCGATTCCAACCCATAGCAACCCTTATAGGGAGAGTTTCCAAGGAGCAATTGGTGAGCTTGAACCACCGACCTTGCAGTTCAAAGGGCTTTGCAGTCTGGCGCATTAACCCACAGCGCCCAACCAAGACTCTGGAATTTATATTAGGACACCAGAATTTTTTGGGGTGAGGGGGTAGGCAGGGAGAAAGAGGTGGAAGGTTGAGAATTGTTGGAAAGGTAGAAGGTGTGTATTAAGATTGTGGTGCAATATGTTTTTGGGGAGGGGGGCCTTGATCTTATCTGATATTGTAAATTAGGATCAAACAAAATGTTAGCCCAGGAATTTATCTGTTCTGATGATTCTTGATGGTGGAAGTCAGTGTCACCTTTTCATTAACGTGAAAGGGGTGAAATAGCAGTCATGTATTGTCTGAGTGGCAGTTGAGTTTTTCTATTCAAAATCCTGAATGCATTTCCATTTCTGTCTTTCTGCCTGCCTTGTTATTCAAGCTGAGTGTAAAGCTAGGAGACTCATTTGAAATTTGTTTTTATCTTAATCAAACACACCAGGACCTTGTACATACAAATCACTGCAGTCCCCTTTGTGATAGTTTCTTGAGAAGACCAAAGACTCAGGAAGGTTTTGCAATGCCCCTTTGGTGGAATTGCCTTGAGCAAATTCTGTTGAAAATCCTCCCTGCTAACAAATCTTTGTCCTTTGAAGATCAATTAGAATTTTGGAAATTACCAAAAGCTCTCTGTCCAAAAGTGACCCTGAGTCCTGTTGATCTCGATCTCAGAAGTCTGGCTAGGAGGAGTGTTTCCCAAGGCCAGGCACACCCAACTAAGTACTTTGGTGATAGTACATTTATCATCCATACCTTAGATTTTTTCCTCTGTTAACCAGGAGCAAAGTTTTTTTTTAGAAGTATGAAAGGTAACTTTCTGGTTGATTTGTTGAAAGAAAGAAAGAAAAAGAAAAGGTTTATTTTATTACTCTGTGGACATGTCTAATCCTTGTTTGTGTGTCTTACCTGGTGGTCACATTTCCAAATGACAGCAGCTGCCCTGACTGAGGCAAATATATTCTAACCCTTGTTGGTAACTTTATCCTTTGTCAACTCACTGGGCCAAGAGGAAAAGTAAGATTTCTCTTGGCCCACCGTTGTCTCTCACCTCTGTCATGTGGTGCTAACCATGCTGTGGTTCTAAGGGGAGATAAGATGACTTGCCCTTCCCATTGAGCACATAGCTGTCTGAGAGCTAGCTACAAGAGAGGTCCACAGAATAGGAGAGCGAATTCTCCAGGGCTTTAGGGTAAGACATCTGGCAAGGAGCGCCTTGCCACAGTTTCCTTCTATGTGGTGTCTGGAAGGAAAGAAACCAGGGAACTTGGAGGATAGCTCTATCCTGGCCACCTTCTTCTTTTCCTTACCTTGAACTAGAATTTAAGTAAAGGAAGATAGGGTGTCTTTCAAGTGAACCTGATGTAAGCAGGGTACCCTAGGCAGTGTTTGTATGCTTCAAACATAGGGAAATTATGAGTGATTACCATCAATTTTCATTGTGACATAAAAATGACATTTTCTCAGATTTTGTAAAAAGTTGTCATTGAGTCAACTCTGACTTACAATGACCCCATGTGTGTCAGAGGAGAACTGTGCTCCAGAGAGTTTTTGTTGTTGTTGTTAAGTGCCGTCGAATCAGTTCCAACTCATAGCAACCCTGTATAGGGTTTCCAAGGAACAGCTGGTGAGCTTGAACTGCTGACCTTGAAGTTCAAACGGCTTTGCAGACTGACACATTAACCCACAGCACCACACCAGGCCTCCATAGGGTTTTTAGTGGCTGATTTTTCAGAAGTAGATCACTTGGTCTTTCTAACAAGAGGCCTCTGTTATTGTTGTTGTTAAGTGCCGTCGAGTCGGTTCCGACCCATAGCGACCCTTCCTGTACAGGGTTTCCGAGGATGTAAATCTTTACGGGAGTAGAAAGCCTCATTTTTCTCCCGCGGAGCAGCTGGTAGTTTCAAACCACTGACCTTAAGGTTCGCAGCCCGATTCGTAACCACTATGCTACAAGAGGCCTCTAGGTGGACTCAAACCTCCAACTTTTCAGTTAGCAACCAAACATTTAACTGTTTGTGGGACCAAATGAAGGCCCAAGGTTTAAAGGGAACTCTGGGATGTCCAGTGCAGAATCTATGAAGTATTATTTGAGTTCCATAAAGAACACTTCTGAGAACATCCCAAGGTCAGTAAAAATATAGAGCACTTGAGTCAAACTAGAGACCTCAGCAGGAGTGTTAGAAGTGTGAGGCGACATTTGCCCTTACTCTTTTCTCTCCCCATGAGCCAATCTCCTGAGATACCAGAATTTACGTTTCCTGTGTTAGCAACATAAAAAAAGGGGTTCTTAAGAGAAGGAGAGAAAGAAAATCCCAGTTGCTTACCAGACAATGCACAGTCATAACTTTGCTTGGTGCTAGAGGTCACAGAGCCGACAAGGCTCATGACTTGAGTATTTGGTGGCCTTGTCAAGAATCAGTCTGAAGGAGAAATGTCCACCTGAGAGGGCAGGCCAAGAAGACCAACTCTCATTTCCATTTCTCCGCTGCTCAGGAGTCTATGGGACAAGTCCCCTGCCTGTAGGAAATGGGACCCAAATCCTCGTGACAGGACCCTTCAATGAGGAGCCTTGGTTGTGACCCTCCTTTCTGAATCCAAGGCCCTGCTATAGAGTCATGAAAGGTCATTTTTCAGATCAGCAACTGCTGGGCCTTTGAGTGGATGGATGAAGAGGTTGTGTTCATGTAGTCTTATAGGCAGTGGGAGATTGTTGTTGTTGTTGTT